CAATGAGGCAGGATAGAATGGTCATAGCTCATGGGTTGCGAACCGGATCACCGGCGGCTTAAATCAGACGGAGAAAATGTGGCTTGTCCACGACCAGGTGCGCGCGCAATCATTGAGCGATACGCAACTTCCCGTGCGGAGCTTCACAATGCGTTACCAGAGCCCTTCGGGCAGTTCGGGTGCACAGTGGTTCTACAGCGGTGCAATTTATTGCGCATACAACAATGGCGAGGATGGCGCCTTGGATGCCCTTTTCAACGTTTTTTTGTTTCAATTCTGCTTCATGGTGACAACAAAGTGTCCTGCGTTTTTTTTCTTCATCTTATTTTCGACATTTTTCTGCAGGTGTGGTCTTTATCAACCTGGCCACAGCAAATTCGACAACTGGCAGAGTAAATGCCGGTTTTGTCAGCAGATCTGCTCGAACCAATTCCAATGATGGCTTGAATTGCCTCTCTGCCCTGTCACCGTTCCCAGAACCAGTCACCACAACGACGACCACCACAACCACAACCACCACAACCACAACCACCACAACCACAACAACTACCACAACCACCACAACTACGACGACCACCACAACTACGACGACTACCACAACTACGACGACTACCACAACTACCACTACCACTACGACAACAACCACAACAACAACTACAGGAGGAGGCTCTCATGGTGATCCTCACATTCAGAGGCTTGACGGAGGACACTACACCTTGCTCCGGGAAGGCAGCTTTTTGCTATGGCGCTTCAGAAAATCCGGCACGGATTGGCAGATCTTTGCACATTATGCTGGGCGAAGTTCCTACACCAAAGGGCTCCTCCTCATAGACAACACAGGAGTTTCAGTGGAATGGACTACTGAAAAGTGCGATTGCCGGACGAGAAATGCATCGAACGGCTGGATATCTGTGAACATGTCGCAAACCTTGGTGACGGGCAAAAACGGCAGCTCAAGCATCAATATCACTCGCCTCCCCAAGAGACGTGCTCGACGATTTGAGGTCGACCTGCGTGAGGAGGGGCGCAAGATTGCCACACTCCACGTCCATTGCATGGTGGACTGGCAGATTGATACCAAGGTTTCTATGTTTCGGCCACATGACATTCGTCTCGTTGAAGGGCAAACGGGCCACAGAGAGAACGAGGAAAAGAGAGAAAGGGAGAACAAGCAAGGCTTAATGCAAGGAAATGGCAGATGGCAAGGCGAAGCCGCCCAGGCCAAGCTTTTTGGCAAGCGAGCGCAAAGTGAAGACCAAGAGTTCTTACAAGACAAGAGTTGGACAGAGTTGCGTGGAAGCCGGAGGGCTGCCCACTATTTGCAGAGGATGGATGAATCCGGCAAAGGTATAATGCTATTGAACCAATTGAGCGCTTGCACGGGGGCAAAGAAGTCTCAAGCTGCCAAAATTTGCTCCAAGCATTTGTCACAAGCCTTAATTTCAAACGTTTCAGACGATTTCTTTGAGGATTGCATCTTTGATGTGTGCAATGGTGGTGGGGAGTTGGCTGCTGAACTTGCAGCAGAGATTTTGACGGCTTAAGTCGGAAAAGGCAGTAATTGCCTTTTCGTGTGCCATTTTGACTATGCCGTTTCGCCTTTGTGCTTTTCAATGAGGCTGGTTTGGAGGCTTTCATTGCCTTTCGCATAGCCAGTTTTGGTCCGATCAGACTGGTCCAGAAGAGATCATCGATGTTTCGTCCCACCAGCAAAAGCCTGACGTTGCGGCAAAAATCATACAGCTGCTGTTGTGAGCTAGGTTGAATGCCGTGCTCGATCTGTGAATGAACAGAATATGCAATCATTCCGTGAGTTTGACTTACTAGTAGTGACAAGAAGCTATTAGAAACAAGTGCATCGCTACTAGTAACAAGTGCCTTACTAGTAGTAGCAAGAAGCTTGCATGTGTTTATTCTCGGCCCTTTGCCCATGACTCTTGCTGCAATTCTGGTTGCAGTCGGGAAAACACATGGACGCTCCAAAATAAATCCCCACCGCAGTTTTTCCACTATCTTATTACCATCTTTGCATTTGATGGCCGTTTTTCACTTGGAAGAACACTGAGGTGAGTCGACATCTCAGTTTCTAGCACCTCTTCTTTTCTGTGTTTGTCGACATCTCACAATATCATACCTACATATGCTTTTAGAGAAACACAATATATATATATATATGTACATGTATCGAGAGAGAGAGAGAGAAAGAGAGAGAGAGAGAGAGCTCCGCAGAATGCCAAAGGCGGCATGTGGAAGACTTAATTAGTGCAGCAATTGAGATATATTGAGATATGTGCAGTTCCGAGTCGTGCTATAGTTGGGCGGCTTGCGTCGCGATCACTGATGACTGTGTCTTGGTTTGCTTGGGCTGTTGTTGTGTAGTGCTTAGTGCAGTAGCTACGCTGCGGGCTTTGAGGTCTCAGATTCTGGGAGCTTTGTTCACGATTTTGGCTGTGGGCGGATGATAATTAGAACTATTTGGCATACGCAGCACACCTGCCAAAAAGTAGTAAACATATGTAAACATATACATTGATTCTGCAAGGTAGGCAAGTTGCTATAATATTCCGTTCAATGGTGTTTGTGATGGTGGAACGGGCTGCTTGGCTGATGTGGAAAGTCCAGTGCTAATTGTGTTACTTCTTCTTTCGGCAGGTAGCTGATGTAGGTTCATAGGAGTCCGTACCACATCAAGATGTATTTTGCAGACTGTGGTGCGTCAACAGCCAACTGTCCAGACTCCAGCCCTTCAAGAACACGCCTGAGTCAATCAACGTTCTTTCCTTGCCATCTCTAAGTGCTCATGGACAGGCAAAGTAGTTTGAAGCATAATAAAACATTTTACGAAAGCCAGCCGATAGGCTAGGCTTGAGCTTTTTGAGCGAATGAAGTGAGCTGAGAGGGACATTTTGAGAGGGTGAACCCGGAGCTTGGTGGGGGAGAGCGATGCAATGGACCCCGAGTAGTGCATCATTAGCATCATGAAGGGCTTTGGAGGCTACTTGGACTTGAGTGGAGGCAGGCACCCACCGCCGCCGCGCGTAGGATTCGCGTTCCCAGGACAACCCGTAACTCGCGAAAACCATAGAGAACCGAAAGTTGCATGAGTTCAAGTCCATGACTTTGGATTGAGTTTCGGTGGGGACGCCTGCGAGGTTGACTACATATCCGCATGGGCTTCCTGCCCCCTAGCAAAAACTATACTTGCGCCATGTCCTCGGGTCGAGTGGATGCTTCTCGCGGCGTCCAGAAGCACCGAACGTTTTTCCGGCTTCAATTCAAACTTCAAACACTCCAAATGTAACAAGCACATAATTGCTTCTTTTCAAACGCATGCCGTACTCGCGCGCGCGCGCGCGGCGACACTCACTATGGAGAAGGTCTTCCTGCGCGCGCACGTGGTATTCCACCACTCGAACTCAGACGGTGTTTCCCCTTCGCTAACGTTGATGTCGCCTTCCAACTTCCCTGAGATGCATACCTTCCTGCGTGTGACAAACACATGCCATTGCCTTGTGATGATGAACCACACCAACATACAACATATCGCACTTCTCTTTCACTACTTCTTTCATACCAAACTTCTGGGCAAATTAAGGCGAGCTCACCTGACGAGGTACGAGGTAGAATAATTTCGAGACGAAAATAAGCGAGGTAAGTCCAGCAACAGCAGCAGCACAAAGCTTTTGAGCTTGTAAGGGCCACTGCTGGGCATAGCTTCCAGGAGCTACTGGGACTCCACTCACCATGCCACACAGAAGCCCCAAGAAGACCAAAAACAAAAAAACACATATTTTTAAGAAATAGGCCCGATTTTGACCCAAGCATGCTTGAAGGAATTGGGGCTTGTAGAGGCCACTGCTGGGTGTAGCTTCCAGGAGCTACAGGGGATCCACTCACCACGCCACACAGAAGCCCC